GAGAAGGAGAAAGAGGAGAAGCAGTCTACCATTGTTTCCGTAGACCAATGTTTTTCAACCTTAACCGCTTGAAGAGGTGAGGACTTCAACTCCCAGAATTCCCCGGTCAGCATGGGGAATTCTGGAAGTGGCTGAACCAGGGAATTCTGGGAGTTGAAGTCCTCACCTCTTCAAGCGGTTAAGGTTGAAAAACATTAGCTTAGAATAAGCCCCGGAGAGTCCAACTCCTGGAATTATCAACCTACAGTTTTGCAGGTCTTTGTTAAAGAGGTGGGGGTGGAGGTGCGCGGCTTCCCACCCGCTCACACCTGCCCCCCATGGCCCCTCTGGCTGGGTGGGTCTTGCTGTGAGAGAAAGCACCTGCCCCTCACTCACGGACAGCAAAAAGAAACCCTGATGCCCTGCCCTTAATGGAGAGGAAAAGTAACCAAGGAGAGAAAAAAATCTAGAACTTTAGAAGAAACTTCCTGACGGTGAGAACGATTCAGTGGAACTCCTTGCCACCAGAGGCTGTGAGTGCTTCAACACCGGGAGCTCTTAAGAAGAGATTGGGCAACCGCTTTGTCTGAGATGGTATAGGATTTCCTGCCTGAGCAGGGGGTATGACTAGACCAGGGGTCGCCAGCCTTTTGGACCTCAGGGGCCACCAAACTCACCATTTTAAATCCCGCGGACCAGAGACCCTGGGAAAATCCCCCACCCCCCAAAATAGTCTGCAGGAAAATCCCACGCCCCGTTTTCCTACCGATCGATCGTTCTTTATTTGGGATCGGAGGATACCGTCTCCAGCTCCGTTCTCAGGGGGAGAGAGAGAGAGAGAGAGAAAGAGAGAGGGAGAGACTTTTGGCTTCATGCAAGGAAAGCAGCAGAAGCCGCAGAAGTCTTTCTTTCTCTCCCCCAAACTCCGCCAGAAATGAGTCTTTGCCAGCACAGCCTCTTGGAGCAGGAGGCCTTGCAGGGTCCCCAAGACTCATTTCTGGCGGAGTTTGGGGGGAGAAAGAAAGACTTTGGCTGCTTTCCTTGTGTGCAGCCAAAAGGAGAAGAAGAAAGAGGCAGAAAGTAGCAGCCCGGTGGCCAGGCCCGACAAGTGGGATGCGTGGGGCAAGTTCCCCCCTCCTCCCTTTCTCCCCTCCCCTCACACAGCCTTGTGTTCCTACACAGCCTGGATTAATTGCTTTGAAGGTGACATTTCTCTGCAGACCACCAAAATTTTCTCATGGACCACCAGTGGCGACCACTGGACTAGATGACCTCCACGTTCCCTTCCAACTCTGTTATTCTATTCTATTCTGGCTGCTTTTGGCAATTTTTTTTTGCGCCTGGAGGACAACCGTTGCAGGTGACATTTGCTGGATATATTTTATTTATGTATTTATTTTATTCAATTGATATGCCGCCCGTCTTCCTGTTGAGATCGGCGGGTAGGTCTGATTTTCGATTGAGGGAAACCGCAAAAGAGACTATCCAGCAAAGTCAAAATGATCACAGCTGAGTTTGTTCTCATTTTTGGTCCTATTACGAATGTTTTACAGAAGAAAAGTTTTGCATTGTGTATTTCATGCAGGTTTGTCCTCATTTAGCGACGGCCTCCCTTGAGCGACCGTTTGCCGTTACAAAGGGTGGTGAGAAAGGCGCTAATTGTAACCTGTCGTTGCATTGACGCCTTTTGCAGGCTCGTAAGGCAAAGGAAAGCTGAAGGAAGGTTGCACGAGAGCCGTCGTGGGTTCACTTAGCAACCGCTTCGCTTAATGACCAAGTGGCTGCTTCCCCGCCCTGGGGTCGCTAAAGGAGCGTTCCCCTGCAAAGATTCGAGCAACTTGAAAGGCAATTAAAGTGATTAAGAAAATAATGGAATGTGTAGAAATGAGTAGATTAACATTAGCAATTAGAAAACAAGAAGAAAAGGAGTATTATAAGATTAGGGATTTATTTTATGGGTGGTTAGAAAGTAAAGTAAGAAATTAAAGGATATTGTAATAATAATGATATACTATAACTGTTTATTTTTGAATAAGTTCTAACCGTGTTGGCAGGGGTGGGATTCAAATTTTTTAACAACCGGTTCTGTGGGCGTGGCTTAGGTGGTGGGTGTGGCTTGGTGGTCATGTGACTGGGTGGGTGTGGCTTGGTGGTCATGTGACTGGCTGGCTGTGGCCAACTCAACATCACTCACATCGAGGCACGCATCTCTTCGCCTGGCCTCTCATGACTGTGGGGATGCTGCAACAGTCGTAAGTGTGAAAAAGGGTCATAAGTCACTTTTTTCAGTGCCATTGTAACTTTGAATGGTCCCTCCACACAAGCAAAGGACCAGCAAAGGAGGGGAAAAAACTCCAGAGACGTTCGTGAGACAGGAAGTCTAGTCCTGCCAAGAATGTAATAAGGATTAACGGAGAGGCAGTTTCTGTAAGCGACACCAGAATGTTTCCTTCCTGCCTTCCTTACAGGATTAGCCCTGTAATTTCTTCTAACAACCGGTTCTCCCAACTGCTTAGAGTATTAACAACCGGTTCTAGTGAATGAATAGGTGTGAACTGGTAGAATCCCACCCCTGCGTGTTGGCGAACCTATACCACTTCTGCTGCCACACGAGAATTTGCCTGGAAGCATTTATTGCGCATGTGAGCACTGATGCCACCCAACAGCAGATTGTCGGGTATCTGGTGCGCATGTGCAGGGGGAGCAGGGGTGCGTGGGAGACATGCGCTCATGTGCAGAGATGCATGGCATGCGGGGATGCCATGTGCAGATGGATGGCGTGCAGCGGGGGAATCACACTTGCATGCGTAGATGCATGGCGCATGGCAGGGGGGGTCATGCGTGCATGCACCAGGGGTGTGGAGGGGCCCAGCACGCATTGCCTTCTGGGTGCTGGCATGCGAACATGAGCGCAATTATCAGCATGCGAGCCGAAAAAGTTTAGCCGCCACTGACTTATAACATGAATATAATTTTGTAAGAGTTGGGATTTGCTTTTAAGGATAGTTTGAAACTGAAATAAAAAAAAAACCTAAAGATAACGTAATAATAATATCAGATGATATATAATAGATAACAGATAATCAGAGTTGGAAGGGACCTTGTAGGTCATCTAGTCCAACCCCTGCCCAAGCAGGAGACCCTACACCATTTCTGACAAATGGCAGTCCAATCTCTTCTTGAAAGTCTCAAGGGATGAAGCTCCCACAACTTCTGAAGGCAACTTCTGTTCCATGGATTGATTGTTCTCACTGTCAGAAAATTCTTCCTTATTTCCAGGTTAAATTTCTTCTTGTTCAGTTTCCATCCATTGTTCTTTGTCTGGCCTTCAAGGGTGCCTTGGAAGATAGCTTAACCCCCTTTTTCCTCTCTGGGGCAGCCCCTCAAATATTGGAAGACCGCTATCATGTCTCCCCTGGTCCTTCTCTTCACCAGACTAGCCAGGCCCAGTTCCTGCAATCGTTCGTTGTATGTTTTAGTCTCCAGTCCTCTCATCATCCTGGTTGCTCTTCTCTGCCCTCTTTCTAGAGCCTCAACCTCTTTTTTATAATGGATGCAGTAGTCTAGGTGTGGTCTTACTAAGGCTTTATAGTGTGATATATATATACCTGACTTGATCTCATGATATAATGTTGATTAGAATATAATATTAAACTCAAGAAGAAATGCATACAAATATTGTGCATGCTGTATAACTGAAAGGAGGTTTTATTTGTGGTTTTTTGTTATAACGTAAAATGAAATTCAAAAAGAAAAGAAAAGAAAGGCAATTTAGAGAAAATATCTGAAACAAGAATTAACCCCAGGAAAGAGGCAGCAAGCTGACTGAAATCTCAATTGAATTGTTTTCTCACGCACACAAATGGCGCTTTGTCCATCTCACTTGTTTTGCACGTCGAAGGGGAATAAAATGGGGGCATTTCTCTTTTAGACTTCCCCTCTCTCTTCCCAGAATGGGTTGCACAGAGTCCAAGTTCAACGTCCTCCCAGGAAAGGGAAAGCAGAGAGAGAACTCGAACTCGACTCTGGATGTCCGTTATACCACCGAACCCACCATCAAGCAAATGGTAAGTCTGATGTGCTTGGGTAAATCTGTGTACGCATGTCATGCCCCTGTTGGTGTCTGACTCCGAGGGCAAGGAGGAACAGCTGATAGGGAGTGGGAGTGTGGCTCCAGAGGTTGTGGAGGAAACTGGGGAAGGGCAGAGGCCAGCTGGGCAGTCAGAGGAGGACCCAGGCCCATCCCCTCTTCATCCTAGGGCACGCAGGGAGGAGCAGATAAGGGAGAAACATGAATGGTGTGGTCTACGGGGGAGGAAGGGGCCCTGATCCCCTTCCTGGGCTGCAGCTGTGAGGACTGTTTAAAAGGACAAACCGCGCATGGCCCAGTGCTGGAAGCAAAGCGTGAATTAATTCTAGTCTGTCAGTTCTTATCTAAGTTCTGACATCCTTCCCAGTGTGTGTATTTCAATATCTGTAGGTGTCTTCAAGCCCTTATCCTGCCTCGACTCACTATGCCTCAGTGCGGTTTGTGTTGTTTTTTTCTATTTATAATTTAGATGTATTTTGAGTTTGAATGGCACTTCTTTCTTTTTGCAACTGTTTGTGGGGGAGTTTTTTTTTCTCCAGTCAATGATCATTGGAGTTTTGAAGCCAAGTTGAAGGAATTAAAGGGGCTTCACCTGTTTTTGTGACTCTGTTGTTTGTGCATCCCACCCTGGGTCATCCACAGTGCATCTCGCTCCAGTACAGGAAGTCCGCAACAGCTAAACAATTGCAAGGAATTGACTTAACAAAAAAAATCACAAAATGATTGTCCCCGCAAAAAAGTGCTTTTGTTTCAAGACTTCCTTGTTTTTTCTTTGAAGAGGTTTTGCTTCTCCTCCGAGAAGCTTCCTCGGCTCTGAAACATGGCCCAAACTCTTTTAAAAACTTGTCTTGCTGAGCACCAAAACAATTTGGGCTCAAATTGTAGGCGTGAGTCAAGGACTATCCGTACTAGTTGCTTCTTTGACAGCACATTGTACGGATCAGCCAATCCCACAATCAAAAGGGGAATATTTTTTTTTTCCTGTCCTTGAGCACAAAAGTCCAGAAATGGTTTCCAGGTAGAAACAAAACTGGTGTCTGGTCCATCATTGTGTCCTACCATTTTGTTGGAAGTGAGGGTGGGTGGGATAAAGAAGCGGGGGAAAGGAAGCTGGCTGGCATTTTTTTAGCTTGCTTTTTGCTTTTGCCGTAACTGCTTGGGAATTTGGGCGAGGGAGCGTCTTCGGAGACAGAACAAGCCGTTTCAGCCTGGTTTCAAGGCCGTCGTGCCCTGAGAGTGAACCGTCATCTGCCTAGCACCCTAGCATTCTCAAAACAACTTTTCAGCATCACGGTGGCTACGGTGGACTGACTGGTCAGGAAGTTTGGGCTCAAAAGAATGGCCGTTTGCTTTGTGCAGGAATTTTTTCAGATTCAACCTTTTCCTCCTGCAATCACTTCCCTCTCGATCAAAGTTCTTTCGATTCGGACTAAGCGTTTTGCTTTCCTGAGGCAGTTCCTTTTTTTTTAATGAATATTTTTATTTTTATTTTATTCTTAATTAATAGGCCTCAGGCAATTCCTTTCAGATGGATATATTCTTTTTTGTTTCCCGTAGTGATCATCTTTGTGGTTCTAAGACAACTCCCATCTTATTCTTTGTCTTTGAAAAGGGCCAGGTTTTTGAGAAAGTGTCACTGGTGTAAGGAATAATAATTAAATCTTTGTTTGCATTCCAGGGCATCAAAGGATCACTGGCATAAGGAATAATAATTAAATCTTTGTTTGCATTCCAGGGCATCAAAGGATCTAAGCTCCAGGAGACAGATGGTATGTATCTCTCATTAGAGTGGAGAGTAGATTCCTGGGCTGTAAATATGGACAAAGGAGTGAAAATGGAGGCCAGGAGGAATAATTGAAGTTCTACCTGGAGGCACATAATCATGGATGCTTCCATTGCACCACAGTTACCATCTATGGCATTTTTTAGCGTTATCCTGTAGGCAACTCGGCTGGGTTCCAATCCTAGATTGTCCTGGAGAACATTGTCTTCTGAGAAGTTCATTGGTTGTTGCAAAGGTCCCCTTCTCTAAAGATGGTGGCCAGGATGACGTAATTGAATCCCTGTAGGCATCTAGGCTGGGTCCCAGTCCTAGGTCCTCCTAGAGAACATTGTCTTCTGAGTAGCCCATAAGTCTACCATTGTCACAGAGGTCCCTTCTGTAAAGATGGTGGCCAGGATGATGTAATTGAATTCCTGTAGGCATCTAGGCTGGGTTTCAATCTTAGATTGTCCTGGAGAACATTGTCTTCTGAGTAAGTCTACCGTTGTCCCAGAGGGCCCTTCTGTAAAGATGGTGGCCAGGATAATGTAATTGAATTCCTGTAGGTATCTAGGCTGGGTTTCAAACTTAGATTGTCCTGGAGAACATTGTCTTCTGAGTAAGTCTACCATTGTCACAGAGGTCCCTCTGTAAAGATGGTGGCCAGGATGATGTAATTGAATTCCTGTAGGTATCTAGGCTGGGTTTCAAACTTAGATTGTCCTGGAGAACATTGTCTTCTGAGTAAGTCTACCATTGTCCCAGAGGGCCCTTCTGTAAAGATGGTGGCCAGGATGATGTCATTGAATCCCTGTAGGCATCTAGGCTGGGTTCCAATCCTAGGTCCTCCTAGAGAACATTGTCTTCTGAGTAGCCCATAAGTCTATCATTGTCACAGAGGTCCCTTCTGTAAAGATGGTGGCCAGGATGATGTATTTGAATTCCTGTAGGTATCTAGGCTGGGTTCCAGTCCTACATGTTCCTGAAGAGCATTGTCTTCGTAGATGTCCATTGGTCTATCAGTGGCCCAGAAGTCCCTTTCTGTAAAGATAGTGGCCAGGATAATGTGACTGAAGCTTTACCTGGAAGTATATAAGTGTGTATGTGTGTGTGTGTGTGTGTGTGTGTGTGTGTGTGTGTGTTTCTGTCTCCACCCTAAACCTTTTCTTGTTTCCCTCTATCCCCCAGAATTGGAGGATTTCATTGTGTTGGCCTTGTACGACTACGAAGCCATTCACAGGGAGGACCTCAGTTTCCACAAAGGGGATCGTCTCAAGATTTTAGAGAAGTAAGTTGGAGGGGCCTCTGGAGGATGGAAGAGTTTATTGAGAAATGGTGCTCCATAGGCAGCCTCTGGGGGAATCCAGTTCATGGAATCTGATAAGAGAGAATATTCGCATCTCAGGGTTGAAATGTATTTATTTATTTGATTTGTCAATTGCTTACAAGATCATAAGTATAAACATAAGAATACAGGAAATAGGTACGAATACATGGGGACAATAGGACAGGGACGGAAGGCACGATGGTGCACTTATGCACGCCCCTAACAGACTTCTTAGGAATGGTTATTCTCTCCCTTTCCTCCCTCCATTCTCCTTCCTTCCTTCCTTCCTTCCTTCCTTCCTTCCTTCCTTCCTTCC